TTTTTTTTTTCTTTTTTGTGGTACTGGGGTTCAAACTCAGGTCCTTGCGCTTGCGAGACAGGCCACTGAACTGGCTGAGCTAAATCCCCGGCCCACTAGGAAAGTATTTTCTAAATTCTGCCATTGTAGCCTCTGCTAAAACCCACTTCTGCCTGTGTCTTAGTTACTTTCTCATCGCTGAGACAAAATACTCGACACCCACAAGTTAAAACTCACAGTTGTAGAGGTTTCAGTCCATAGTCAGCTGGCTCCAAGGCAGGGCAACAAGGCAGAAGGGCATGGCAGAGGAGAAAACAGTTCATGGTGTGCAGGCAGGAGGCAGCAAGCAGGGAGCCTTCCTTTTCCCTTCTGTTCCATTCAGGCTACAAGCCCATTGGTTGGTGCCACCCACACCCAGGGTACGTCTTCCCATTTTCCACACCTAGAGCTATGCCAAACCAATCAGTGGGCTAATCCAGTTATCATACCCATAATCCAGTATCACCCACCCCAAAGCCTCACCTGGGAGCACACAAGTTTTGGAGGAACACCTAGATACAAGCTACAGTGGCTAGGAAGCCACCATGATCATGGAGCTGCTTGTACAGTGGCCAGCTCAAGAAATATGTCCTACCTGTCCCATTCACACCCACAAAAGCAGCACTGCACATCCTGCTACCTCAAGACCATCGAAGCTAGCAGCCAATCACAAGCACCTCTTGTCAACAGTGTCCCAGAGGAATAAAATATGCTACAGAACTAGGAAATGAAGCACAGCCTCCGCCTCACATTTATCTCTGCCTCATTTTTATCTTCTAAATTTCAGGCAAAGGCATCAATTCATGGAAACAAAACAAAGCTGGAAACCTAGTTGCAAGGGAGTATGCACAATGCAATTTTCTGATTTCCAGGCCCGGTTTTCAAGCCTCACTGCAAGGTGGATGGGGTGTTGACCACTGATTCACGTAGCCTCCAGACTTAAGGTTAGATGAGTTAAAGGTGAATCTGTGGTTCCCTGTGCTCTGCCCACAGGCACCTAATACTGAGACAGAGACAACTGCTGGGTCTTTGGGACCTTGAGGGAAATTATCCATTGGCCATGAAAGCATTTCTTAGTTGCCAAGGGTTCCCCTTAGTAGTCAGGTTCTATGTGGTCACTTTCCATGGTTTCATCAAGACTTTTCTCCAGCAACATCATGTGTAACCATTTGATGCTTGCATTTGAAAGATAAGATTATACCAGCCCACAGAGGCAGGCTGCTGGTCAAAATTTGAAAAGTGCTGAGTGTAAAGATATTAATGCTAAAGTTCACAGAATGAAGCTCTTAACTCATTTGAGAATCTCTGGAAAACTATGGCTGACATCTATCCAGACAGCTACTTGTGTACACAAAATACTGTGCATAATTTCAGGGGATGTGTGCACACACGAATGTGCTAAATGCTACTAAAGTGCACACCTAAAAACAGTTCGAGTGGTTCAAAATAAACAAACACACACTGAGGAGGAAATGAGTGTGTTTTTCTGAACCCTTTTGTGTTACTGTGATCTATGCCTGTAATCCCAATTAGCATGATCACTCCAAGCACAAGTTTTCTTTTCCTTCCAGGCCGGGCCATCTCTTTTGTGACCAAGAACTTCTTTTCCAAAGCCAACGGAAACAGAGGTAGTGCCCCCAACGTGGCTGTGGTGATGCTGGATGGCTGGCCCACGGACAGAGTAGAGGAGACGTCAAGACTCACCAGAGAGTCAGGAATCAACGTCTTCTTCATCACCATTGAAGCTGCTGTTGAAAATGAGAAGCAGTATGCGGTGGAGCCCAACTTCGCCAACAAGGTATATAACTGCCCAGAGACTCACCTGTAAGGACCCCTGTACCCCGAGGAGTTACAGTGCCATCGCTGTTTGCTCAGCCCTTTAGATGGGTATGAAGCTCACTTCTAGGTAGGAGGACCTCCGGTGAGGGACCAATAAGTCTAGAACCTGGAACCCCACACTGATCTTGAGGCCAGCAGCTTGGGAGTAGAAGGCAGGGGCAGAGTCCCCACTATCTCACATGCCCCCCCTTGTTTTTCCTATAACACCAGGGGACCCCACCCGGCAGCCTAGCGGGGTGTCACACAAGCATAAGAACACGCATGCATATGCATGCGCACTGTCTCTTACACGAACACACACACGCGCTCTCACACAAACACATGTCCATCTGATACATGAGACGAGAGGTGTGGAACAAGTCAGAGAGATCGTGTTTCCTGGGATGTGCCTGGATTCTGCGGCAGTGGCCACTGGGAGATGGAACAAGACCCATAGGGAAGGAAGCTTCTTGCTACCTTTTCCACCAAAGCCACCTTTGGAATTTTATACAGTCGGACTCTGTGTAAACCTACTTCTGAAAAAAACATGCTTCACCTTGAAACAAGAAAAGACAGCAAGCAAAGGTTGGACAGCTGCATCTTTGACGGTCTTCCAGCTTTCACAGCCTGTACGTTCAGAGGTACTAGGACACCTTATCAAGCTGCCAGCCACCACTTGCTCCTTGAAATTCCCTTGACTTCCTACACACCTGTGGCTCTTCGTTTGCTCTCTTCTTTTTTCCATCTTTTGCCCTAAACCCAGACTCCTGCAGGACTCAGTCCCTGGTCCTCCCTCTTCTTTCACAGTGTTTGCTTCCTCCAGAGTCACACTGCTCTCACATCACGTCTCTTGTCTGTGTGCTCTTTCCCATGCCCAGTGTCAACTCTCTAGTTCAAGCCAGCAATTACATCTGTCTGTCTCCCTCTTGTGTCTCCCCAGGTTAGTTTAGACTTCATAAAGAACCCCAACTCATGTTTATGAAACATTTCTCCAGTCCTGTGGGGCCCTTGCTCCAAATCCTTCACTCTTCCTCATTGCTTCTGAGGCCTTCTGCAGTGTGGTCACAGCCCACCTTCCTGGCCCCACCCAGGTCCTGTGCTGTGGTCAACTGGTCTCCTGCTCACGGCCAGCACCACCATCTCTCCCACAATGACTTGCTCTCCAGCCATTGGCCCAAACTCAGCTCTGTCCCATCCCTCTCGTCCACCTAGTCCATGGAAACTTCTGTGAATTCCGTTAAGGTTTCTGCAAATTAGCTACAACAAAAATACTTCCTAGGAAAGTTTTAAGCCACTTCTTATTTTAAGATAATTTTTTCAGTTACACAAATTCATCTGCAGTCGTCAGGTCTGGTGCCCTTTGTGACCCCCACAGAAGCTGGAGCTGAGAAGAAAGGCTCTCCTTAGAAACACTGGCCCAGTCTCCTCCAGGGGCACACCAACCTGTTTGCTCAGTGTTTGTCTACAGCTGCAGTAAATCTGGAACAAGCTTGGGTACAAGTAAATAAATATTCATTTTCCTGGAAGCAGAGCTCTCTGGAGGGCAGAGCCTGGGTTCCGGGAGCAGACAGATTGATGTTCCAGTCCCAGGGACTCTGGGACAGTCCTCCACCCCTGGGTCTCAGTCTGTTCTCTCACAACAGGGGGTTATCATCCCATCCTGTAGGGTAAGAGTGGGGATTTGAAGAAAGAACATGGCCTGAGACTGAGGCCACTCAGCATCTGTGGGGTTCCCTCCTGTTGGGAGCAGGGCTGCTCTGGAAACATTCCTTTAGTCATTTCCTGTGTGCGTGTTCTCTGTTTTCCCAATCAGAACCAAACTTTCTTTAGTCCTCTCATACGCTGGTGCCCACCCACTCCACTCCTATGGCTGACAACAGCCTGGGCAAACAAAATGAGGAGCGTAAATGAAGGGGCATAAAGATGAAGCTAAAACCAGTGGTTTTCATCTCCCTATGCAGATGTTGAGCAGATAGCTTTCCAGTAGGGCACAGACCCAGCTGAGGGGATCCAGATTGCCAGAGGGGTCTTTGCCTCAGTGAGTGCTCCCCACCCCCACCTATTCCCGGCCAGGTGAAGGGATGGGAGAAAGCACACTACAAGGATAAGCACAAGAAACAAGAGCCTGCCCCTTTACCTGCCTGGTGGTAGGCCAAGGGTGTTGGGGGTGACTGGAGGACTTGGCTCCTCACCTGGTGACGTCTCTCCTGTCTGTCTTCCAGGCTGTGTGCAAAACGAATGGCTACTACTCGTTCAATGTGCAGAGCTGGTTTGGCCTCCGCAAGATGGTGCAGCCCCTGGTGAAGCGGATCTGCGACACAGACCGCCTGGCCTGCAGCAAGACCTGCCTCAACTCGGCCGACATTGGCTTCGTCATCGATGGCTCCAGTAGCGTGGGGACCGGCAACTTCCGCACAGTTCTGCAGTTCGTGGCCAACCTTAGCAAGGAGTTTGAGATCTCAGACACCGACACGCGCATCGGGGCCGTGCAGTACACCTACGAGCAGCGGCTGGAGTTTGGGTTTGACAAGTACCACACCAAGGCTGACGTCCTCAACGCCATCAAGAGTGTGGGGTACTGGAGTGGGGGCACCAGCACGGGCGCTGCCATCCACTATGCCCTGGAGCAGCTCTTCAAGAAGTCCAAGCCCAGCAAGCGGAAGTTAATGATCCTGATCACAGACGGCCGATCCTACGACGACGTCCGGCTCCCAGCCATGGCTGCCCATCAGAAGGGTAAGCCGGGCCAGTCCTCAGGGGCACCAGGAGGCACCTCTCTGAGGCACCGGGGCTAGTGTGCTTAGGCGACAAGGAAGGAACTGGCATTGTATGCACTGGTTTGTCTGCGACTTAAGAAACCATTTAAAAATCACAGGGAGGCTATGAGGAGAGTAACACTGTAGGCCTCGTGGAGTGTGCAGAAAGGAGGAGAAGACAGCCAGGTGCCTCCTAAATGTTCTAGAAAATTCAAGGCTGTGGGTTACTGGGGACAGTGACCTTTTCCTCTATACCCTGGGTCCAGAGGCTTCTCCCAGGGGAAAGGAATTTGGTTCATTGGTTTCTCTCTATGAAACACATCACATCTCCAACTCTCTTGAAGGCACCAAATTGTGCTGGTGATTTTTAAGGAATAATAATGTTTTTAAAGAAAAGTAATATTTTTGTGAAGAACAAAGAAATTTTGATTCCAAGTCCTGAGAGTGATATTTCCGTACAAAAATGTCTAAGTCAACAAAGTTTCAAAACATGAAACACAAACAATGTGTTTTTGTAAATACAAGCAAAACCGTTTCAAAAACTCTGTCACATTTATGCCTTTATCATAGACTATATGTATGTGAATACGTACATATATATGTTATAATCACTGTTCTAAAAGTGCCATAAAATAATCACAAAAACATGACAACCTGAAGAAAATCCCACGTGACGATGATAATAATAACAGCAGTGACCATAATAAATGTAAACTGAGTGGCCAGTCAACACCAGAGACCTTTAGTTAAGTGTCTGCACGCAGAACTCAGTGCTGTTGCTTGTCTTCTTTTCCTTTAATCTGGGTTACTTTGCAGGATTCTCTGTATTCTCGAGAACTGCTGCGTTAAGTCTTTCCTAGAGTAAGCCTTCACGAATGGCCTCGGGCATCCACACTTTCCAGACACTGCAACCGGGCAGAGCCTTCCCAGTGACCGCCCTCCGGGGACCCTGGGGGCACAGTCACAATGGCGAGTGGTGGATGCCCCCAATGCCAGCTCACGGGTTCCCCTGGTCTTGGTCTTGTGCCAGCAGAGTAGGGTTAGGGCTCAGAAACAACTTCCCCAGTGTCCCAGAGTGAGTGGGCGAGCTGGATGGGCCAGCTCCTGCCTCCAAGCCCGGGGCCCCTGTCTCTGTCTCTGGCACATCTGTCCCATCTTCGAGCAGAAAAGAGGGCTTAGTCAGTCAGTCCAAGCCCACCTCTGCAGCAAAGCTACTCCCGCTGCCCCTTGGCAGCATTTTAAAGCTCACTGGTGCTCCCCTCCACCAACCAAGCTAAGCAATATTCAGGGAAGAGAAAGTGGAGAGGCAAGGAAAGAAAGTAGCTTCCATGCGGCTGAATGGGATACAGTTGAAAAGCAGATTCGATCAGAGCCATGTGAGGGATGGATGGCTCTCTAGTTGGGAGGACAGGGCACCCAGAATACGTTGGCACAGGATGGCTCAGTGTGGTGTGTGTGTGTGTGTGTCTGTGTGTGTTGGGCTTGGCAGAGAGGGTCAGGTGCCACACCCACGCTCTGCCCTCTGCTCCATGGGTATCTCGCATACCTGCTCTGGCCAGACTGAAGGTGACATGAAATTAAGATTTTGCAGTCAAGCACCTGCTGTAGTTCACTATATTCTTGCCCATTCACCCCTCTAGATATGCTCAAGTCCCTCCCTTACCCCAGATAAAAATTCTCTTTGACCCCATGCTCTGCTCCAGTTACTACTTGCCTTCCCCTCTACATTCAAGCTTCTGGAAAGGATTAACTGCATGTCTTTTCCCAACACTGTCCTGCCTTTTTCACTTGCAATTCACAACTTTAACGTGGTTCCTTTGGCATCTCCTCCCCTGAAATTGCCCTCACTAACCTACTGGTGACTTGGTGCTGTTTTTTGTTTGTTTGGGGGACACCATTTCTGCACTTGGGATGAGGTTGAAAATAATGGCCTATAAAGTCACCCTCGAGCCTAAAGTGACTTAATTCAATTAAAACAGTCACCTGGATCAGGTCTTGGTTGAGTGAGTCTGTAATTCCAGCTACTTGGCAGGCTGAGGCAGGAAGATCATAAGCTTCAGCCCAGCCTGGGCAAGTTAGTGAGAACCTGTTGCAGAAAAAGTAAAAATAAGTCAAATGAAAAGCAGTCATCTGTTGTAGTTAAAAAGATCCTGCACTGCCTTTTGATGCCTTCAAGGCCCTCTGAGCTTTGGGTTGGCTCGCCACACAAGAGCAGGCGCATGCCATATGCTGTGACGTGCATGGCAGCAAATGGTTCACTTGTGCCGAATTAGTTTTCCCTCTTCTGTCCTTTTTCTCTCCAGAAGACTGAAAGTTTCTGACACAGCAACTGTGTCTGCTATGCTCGTCTGGGCAGAGTGTGGATGCTCACAAGTATGTGTAGAATGGCTGGAGGAACGCATGGACATCCGTCGTCTTAATTCTAGGACACAGATGCCCGGCGGCGGGTTGTCCTATTTTGTTCGGCACATTTCCGACTGTGGCTCTGGTAGTCCTGACAGACTGACAGAGCAACAAAAAGGAGAAGATTCACAGCAGCGCTGTTCTTGGGCACATTTGTCTCATCCCATCTCTGTCCCCGCAGGCGTGATCACCTACGCCATAGGTGTTGCATGGGCTGCGCAGGACGAGCTGGACGTCATCGCCACTCACCCCGCCAGGGACCACTCCTTCTTTGTGGATGAGTTTGACAACCTCCACACATCCGTCCCCAAGGTCATCCGGAACATCTGTACCGAGTTCAACGCACAGCCTCGGAACTGAATTTAGAGCAGCAGAACACGGCAGACGCTGGCTTGCTGACTCCCTCTTGGGACCGTGCCTGGGTTGTAATTTCAGGGCACTTGCAGGGTGGCAGGGCTTGGGTGGGGCTTGGGAAGCAGAGGCGCTGCTATTCTTTGCCAGTGCAGTTGTTGCAGTTCCAAACGTGGAGTTAGAAAGGTGATCGTCAATGCACACGGTAAGCCAAAGTTGGACATCATTTTGAGGGTGCTCGCATCTTTGCTTTCGAGAATTGTTTTCAAAATGTTCAGAAGAGAAGGCTGCACTTAGACCAAAATCGAGCTTTTGTGAAAACTTTCAAGTTTTTATTTCTGATAAGGACTCTATTCCTCAAGTTTCATTTCACCATGATGATGTAGAAGTTGCTTAATTAAACATTTAAAAGGATATCCCGTGATTTTTCTGATGGTGTGATGTCGGTGTTCACAGGATTTGTGGAAAAGCCACTCTCTGATCTTCCTGGCCCATGCTGACCACACTGCACACACACCCGCGGGGTGCAGAGAGCGTGGCAGCAGCAGAACTTCCCCTGATTTGCCTTGCCCTCACTACGTTCTGAGGTTCAGAACACCTGTGACACATTGGTCCTGGAGGGCCAGGTAGATCTTGCTCAAAGATAGTGCACTAGGCTACACAGAAGAATCACTGGGGGACCAGAATCCCCACTCCCAGGCCTTTCCCCTACACCAGTGAAATGTGAGCCACTGGGATCGGAGCCCAAATACTGGCGTGGCTACCTCCCTGCTGATCTTGTATACTTGGACTGAGAACCAGCGAGGGTTTAGCGTTACAACAGCTTCCTGGGAGAATTGCTGTGCCAGCTGTCTTGGGTCTATCTAGTTTAGCATTTGTCCTGGATATTTCAGTGGTAACTAGATATCATTTACTATTGATTTTTGGCATTAAAATAAGCCGGGAGGAGTTTGGTTGAACTTTATCTCCTCTGCCAAGGATTCACCTACCAGGACGTGAAATACATGTGCAATGGGGAAATAGTTGAAAGAATCTTAAGTAGGGGTTACTGGATAAGTCATGTTTTATAAAAACGTGTATTTGGAGAGTGCAACCTGGAAAAGAGAAAGGACAGCACCTGAGTCAATAACTGGAGCAAAAGATTTGCATAAACATAGAATTGAGATATCACTTACCCAGCAGAATTTGCACTGAACCTATCCAATCTACCCTGGAGAGGGGTGGGGAGGGAATATTATCAGTTAAACATATTGCAGTCCATAGCAAAACATCAATTAAGGATGCCTGCCATTTCAGATTGCTAACCGTAAAACTTACTTTGAAGACAATTGCAAACATTTTTGCTTCACCATTTCAAAATATGAAAACAAGTTTTTGAAAGGGAAATTCTTTAGAAAGATACCTGTGGCACTGTATTCATTTGTGCCAGACTCAGCCAAGAAACTAATTAAAAAACTTGAGCCAGGCATGGTGGCACACATCTATAATCCCAGCACTCCAGAGGCTGAGGCAGGAGGATCCCTGTGAGTTCGAGAACAGCCTGGGCTACATAGTGAGTTCCAGGTCAGTGTCAACTACACAGTGAGATGCTGTCTCAAACCACCCCCCGAAGAAAATTTAAGTACTAAGAACATTATTCTATTAATGTGTTTGACTAGGACAATAATTCACACAAAGCAGTTTTCAGCATTGCATCAATCATATATATGACATATATATATATCTCTCTCTCTCTCTCTCTCTCATTTAAATTTTTAAAATTATATTTAGGGAAATAATTTTTAAATATAATTTCAGTCACCTCTCACTATCCAGTGTACTGATTCCAGGATCCTCCCTTGGTACCAGACACAGGCAGCAGGATGGAGAGAAAATTAGAGGGCCAAGCTCTGTCTTCAGCGAGAGAGAGGGAGGCTGAAAAAAGCTCAGGCGACATCCTCAAGGGAGCTAAAGGCAGAAGGAAGGGGACAGTTTAGGAGGGCAGTAGGGACAAAGAGCAGAACGGTCCCCACCCCAGGCTGAGAGAGAACAGAGAGCCCCACTTAGGAGGATGCGACAGACGGAGTGGGAAAAGTGGGGCAAGACGGCGAAGGGGCAGAAGCTCCCAGGAGCCGGCGGACACCAGAGGTGCTCCCTGTGCCCCGGCAGGAAGGCCGGGGTCCAAAGGGCCTGGGCAGAATCAGGCTTGGCACAGAGCAGATTCTGAAGATGATAAATGGCACAGCCACAGCGCACCCCAAGTGACCTAAACTGTGCTCAGCACTGCTGAGCAAGATGACAATCTTAAACCTCAAAATAGCTCCTTAGAGATGATCGGAGCCCCCAGATGGCAGAAGAGGAAATCCAGGCCAGGAGGCTGTGCAGACGCGAGGCACAGAACTGGCTTTGCCCGTCTGTTGGTTCATTTGGCCTCCTTTTGTTGGGGTTAGAACACGCACCCCATCCCATCCCATCCGCCTGGTGCAGCACGGTCCAGGCCCTGGTCCTTCTCTGGGGCCAGTCTCCTAAGACAGCTGTGTCTTCCCATTAGTGGCCTCAATGGAAAATTCTCTTTCATGCCCCTTCTCCTCTAAGTCAGGCAGCACAAATGGGCAAGGAGCATCAAGCTGTCCTCTACGGGTGCTATGACGTCTAAACTCCACTGAGTTTAATTTTCCCACTTCTCCAGCATGAGGGCCCCTTTGGCGAAAGTTTCTTTGCCCAGGCTCAACATCTTGCAACAAGGCCCTACTAAGATTTTCTGGCCAAAGTGATAAGATTCAGATATTTCTTACTTCTCTGGGCTTTTTAAATAACCCCTTTGAACAGAACAAAAACCTTCATAAAACGACTTCCCCCAAAGCTGTCTCAGGAGGCCAGCATGGGTTTATAGAAAAGGCAATATTCCTGTGTCCAAAAATTTTTCAGCCAAAAAAGAGGAGTTTCCAAATAATAGTTTTTTCCAGTCTAAATCCTAAGAGATCTCCCCTTATATTATTATACATAAATGTATTATGTAGGAAATATGCTGAAGAGCAAGAATTCAATTGCCTCAGAAGAAAGACGTTCGTTCAACTAATGCCTCTGAGGGATTCACAGTCCAGTGGGAAACCACAAACAAATGAAAAATGGAAATCGTATAATTACTATCATGGGAATATGCACAAAGGGCAGGACAGGCAATTACAGAAACCTCATGAGAAATGAAATTGTAGCTATGCCTAATGGTGACATTTGTCATAACTGGATACCGCCCTAAGGCTGCACATATATTAACTTGCTCACCCTTATGACTTGCTGAGACACTCTTATGTTACAGACCATGCCTCTGAAGCACAGATCACAGAGCTGGTAGGAGACCCATCTGAAAATTAAGTCCAAGCACTCAGTGCCAGGGTCCGTATGCTTAACCACTTGGCTGCTTATAAGAGTGGCACATAAACTAATCCAAGTGGCTCCCTGGGGAGTTCTCTCATAAGCTGGACTGTTAAAATATACACATAATTCCACAAAGTGTACTCTCCGGGTGTGTTAAATGTGCGGTGTGAAGAGAGTCCAGGAAATGTCCAGCGTCCACTCCACTTTCCCCGTCACACGCCCTGGTCCTCGGGACAGTTGTCCCGCTCTAGCTTAGGATGGGTGATTTTCATCTGCGGTCTCTGTAGATTCCTGAACACCATGGACCCTGCTGCCTTCTTGATAATTCCCATGTATATCCTCCATATCTCTCCCCCAGGGCCACCTCCTCTTTAGAGCACTGTATTGACTTGCTCTGATAGACTTAAGTTTTCTGACTACAGGATCCTGACCCACTTACTTTCCAGTGGTTTCCACGGCCCCTTCTCGTTAAGCAGCATAACCCACACACAGACAAGGAATCTGGAGAGTGAAAACTTTTCATTTAAGTCACCTGATAGTGGCAGCTGATCTTGGAGCCCCAAATGCAAAGGCACCAGTATGAAAGGCAAAGATGTGACAGCAAGAGGAAGGGAAGATCTAATTCCACCCAGAATGCACCACGCTCTCCACAGTCCTTCTCAGGTTCCTTGCTGTATGTTACAATCACTGATTTTCTAGAATTTTCTTTGGGTTTCTACCCATAGTGTAACTCTGTTCCTCAACTTCTGCTTTTGTTTTTCCTGCAGAAGTGAAAATCCTTTGTTACTTTCCCGAGTCTTGGGTAATAGACATTTTAAGTGCCTATTATGTGCCAGGCACTGGGGCAGGCCCTAGGGTATAAAGATGAGAGATTTGGTTCCTGTCCAAGGAGTGTGAGAGAAACACAAACACAGAGATTAAAAATCTCTCGTAAGTGATAGGTGACAGGGAAGGCTTCCTGGGCTGGGTCCTCTAGGAAGAGCCCGGATCAGCCAGGCAAAGGAAAATGGAAAAGTTTTCCTGGAGGAGGGAATGACAGGAACAAAGATAAGGAGGCAGAAAGCGGTGTGGAGCACAGCCAGGCCGTCAGCGTGAAACCTAAGGCTGGGCATGAGGCAGAGGCTGCGTTGGTTAAGGTTCTCTTGGTTTCAAGTAACAAAAACTCAATTTATGGTAGCGCAAGCAAAGAGCATTTTTGGAAGGAAATCGGAGCAACTCCAAAGTCAGCACGACAGCACAGTCTCAGAAATGGGACAAAGGGCAGAAGCAGGACAGGAAACCAGGTAACCCTGTCAACCTCCTCTTCTCCAGAATGATATTCATCTGCAAGTTAGTGAATAGCTCTGGGAAGAACAGAATGAAACTTCTCTCCCCTTAGGGACCAACCCCACGACTCAGCCCTTTCAACCGAGGAGCCATCCAGCCACCCAAGCTGATGAAGCTAGTAGGAAATGAGTTGCTCACATTCTTCGGCCTGATCACCTACAGTTACTTAGCTTTTGAAGTTTCTTGAAGTATGGAGGTGTGTTTAATGCCAATGAATGCATGTCCACAAGTTCCTGATTTCGGAAAACCAAACAGACTGAATGATAGTCTTCTAGCTCTGTAGTCTTCCTTTGTTATGCTTGGAAGCCAATGATTGCCTCTCTAAGACTCCCTTTCACCTCTTTTGGCCCCCAGAGACTTCAAACGCTGCCTTTAACTGTTGAAAAGCGGTTCGGTTGGCCAAGGAGGGACTTCATGTCTCCACCTAGCAAATCCTAGCTGAGGAAAATGCCCTCTTTAAATCGCCATCCACATGGAAAACAAGTAAGACGGGAAGACTAAAATTTCAAGGCAGGATTTGTCTTTTTAAAAAATGTCCTTTGATTGAAAAATACTGAGCTGAACTTTGTCCCTGCCATCCCTCTACACAAACAGGGCCTGCAGGGACCAAGCTGCCCAAGTAAGCAAATGCTGTACTTGGCTTGGCAGCTGAGACTGTGCTAAAAAATACAATCCCTGCTGAATAGCTCCTTTCTATGACTCCTCCAGCCTCACACTTGCT